GGCTGTTTTTGGCTGCCAGCCCAGTGCTGGCCCAGTGACACCACCACACAGCCAAACCCCCTTTTAATGTAATTTTTGACACTTATGTCAATCACCTGAACTTCACCCTTGGCACAGCCTGTCCTGTGCATTGCTGCCGACCACAGCCAGCACCGGCAGCTCCGGGACACAACAAACACCTCGTGGCACCCTTCAAACAAACAACTATGGCCAATGGGGCTGGGAAGAGTCTCCCATCAGGACTGGTACAACATGTTCTGCTTCTGCAACCAAAGATTCTGGTCACAGCTCGCTGCACGCAGCTTTCCAGCCTGTTGGATTTCTTACAGCACCGTGTTCACTTCCTCAGGTGCCTGGAGAGATGGAGGCACAGGACCAAGTTATTGTTACAGCAGAGCAGTAAGAGCAGGGCACTGCGGCAGCAGAGAATCATGGAGTCATAGGATCATAGTGGCTGGAAAAGACCTTTAAGCTCATCGAGTCCAACCATGAACCCAACACTGACAAGTCCCCGACTAACCCATGTCCCTCAGCACTGTGTCTACACGACTCTTCAATCCCTCCAGGGATGGGGACTCCACCACTGCCCTGGGCAACCCCTTCCAATGCCTCAGAACCCTTTCAGCAAAGAAATTCTTCCTCACATCCCATCTCAACTGCCCTGGGCACAACTTGAGCCCATTTCCTCTTGTCCTCCTCCAGATGATGCCCCAGCCATGGTGTCTTCCCCAGCCCAGGTCCTTGCAGTGTTTGTGCCAGGGCAGAGTGCGGCTTTGCCATCCCAACACGTGGCACTGCTGGCCCTTGGGGACAGTTTTTTTGTGGAAAGAACTGGCCTGGCTGTGAGCGGGGCAGCCGAGGGGACTGTTTGTACCTGGCGCATGAACAGATGCCATCTGGGACGGGAGAGCTGTTTATTTAGTTAAGAGGTTTCTTGGCTCCCCTGCACAGACCTAAAGAGGTGACAGGAAGGCAGATGCCAGATCCCTACAGATCCCATCTGTGTGTCCACACAGCCCCTCGCTGCTGCAAACCCCAAGGACCAGGGATGGGGCTCCCAGAGATGCCCCAATGCCAGCACCCCCGTGCCCCAACAGTGCCTTTCAAAAGTGTTTGGGGATGTCTCAGGTTGGAGGTTTCTTGCAGGTCCCTGTGAGAAGAGACAGTTGCCCTCCCATGGCTCTGCAGCCCTTTCATGTCTATATGCTTAGTGCTTCTTGAGTCAGAGCCAGCAGCCTCACCTCCACACCAAGCTCTCCAAAAAGTCTTCTCCTTCCCAACTCGAGCTCACACAACTTGACAGTGAGGAGCCCTGAGTCTCCCCTAAGCTCCCTGGGTCATCCAAGACCAACCAGAGCAAAAGCTTTGGCCAGGAATGAGAAGATCTTGGAGAAAAGGAGAAAAACCCTGGAGAAAAGGACCTGCAACATCTCCCATGTTCAGAGAAGGCAATGGATTTCTCCAATCAAGATTAAACTAGAGCAAAAGAAGATGTACAGCAAACCCCTGCTTAGTAAAGCTGCTGGAGTGGAGATGTCTTGTTATCCCATCGTTAGGTCTGTTCTCATTAAAACATCCATCCATGGATGTGTTACCACATATCCAGGTGCTGTGGTGTGGGGCTGGTCTGTGGAAGGAGAGCACTGGAACAAGAGAAAGGGGCATGGAAAGGAGCTGGGGGAAAAGGAGCTGGAGGAGAAGGAGCTGGAGGAGAAGGAGTTGGGGGAAAAGGAGCTGGAAGAAGAGGATCTGGAGGAAAAGGAGCTGGAGGAGAAGGAGCTGGAGGAAAAGGAGCTGGAGGAGAAGGAGTTGGGGGAAAAGGAGCTGGAAGAAGAGGATCTGGAGGAAAAGGAGCTGGAGGAGAAGAAGCTGGGGGAAAAGGAGCTGAAGGAGAAGGAGCTGGGGGAAAAGGAGCTGGAGGAGAAGGAGCTGGGGGAAAAGGAACCAGCTGTGTCCCCAGGCAGAGGAGAAAGGGAAGGCAATGGATGTGCAGTGACCAGCTGTGGGTGTCACTGCCACCATGGGCAGCGTTTGTGGGGTCACATGTGTCCAGCAAATTTGGGATGTGCTGGAAGGGTCCATCAAAGACCTGCAAGTTATTGCAGAAAGTGGTGGCTGGTAGCAAGAGGTCAGAGGTGTTCATGCTGGTTCATTTAATGCAGAGCTGCATCAACCATGGCATCCCTGTCCCTGCTGGGGAAGGTCCTCTGCAAGCGCCCAGCTCCAGCAGCAGAAGGGAAATAATCAGGAACAAAACCTTCCAGGCAAGAAATCAGATTTGTGTTTCTGGACCCAAGGGTCACTCTTACCCATCTGCCAGTGCCTGCAGGAGACTCTCCATCCCTTGCTGGAGATTGGTGACATCTCTAAAGCCAGGTCAGAAGCTGCTCTTGGCCCTTCCCAAGGCCACGTGTGTGCCCAGGAGGGAGCGTAGCTCTGTCCCCTCCTGCCTTTGTGCCCAGCCCTGGGCTCTTGGTGTGTCCCATCACCCCAGCTCCACTGCAGGTGCCAGCCCTGGGTGGTGACACCAGCCCAAGCTCTGCTCACTGATGATGGTGCAAAAGTCCTCACCTCTGGGCTGGAAATGAAGCACGTTGCTCCAGCTTTTGGAGCTCAGCAGAGGAGCTGCATGGCAGGATGATGCAGAAGAAGAGAGAGAAATGCATCCTTCCCCATGCTCTCGAAACCCTGGTTGTCCCTGCAGCCACCAGTGCACCTTCTCCTGCAGCCCAGGCCACCAGCCAGGCTGTCTCCATCCGCAGCGGCCAGCACCAGCCCTTGTACCCTCTCCATTGCCATCTTGAGTCCTGTCTGCTCGCTGACATATTTACCTTGGATACCTTAGAAACCGGGGCTGCTGCACCCCCTCCTCTCCCGTTCCCTCTGCTCCGAGCACGGTTCTTAGGGGAATATTTTTACACAGCGTGTCAGACCTTTAAAAAGAAGCCTCATGAAAACAGCCTGGTCCTGGGCTGATTAATCACCAGTGTTTTGATGAACTGAAATGCCTCCCCCCTTTCCTCTAAATAGACCAAAAGGAGCGTTGCCGTGGCTTGTTAGGATTTGGAACTCCCAAACCCACTCAGATGTTTCCTTAAAAGGCAAAGGAGACTGGGAACTTCTTGCCTGGAATCTGAGCGTTCGCAGCACCCGATGCTGAGCAAGGGATGGGGTTGGGGATGGAGCAGCTGGTGGAGCCTGGAAT